AGTCCGAAGCATTGTTAACTGTCGTTGTTGCGGTAAAAGCTATTGGACATGTCCATAATTCGCTCGGTCTATTTTGAATTGGATTCAAGTGGCAGATTGCAAGCCTACCCCCGTCTCTCTCTTTTTTGTATCGGTCAAATTAGAACACTAGCTTGTACTTGAAGGTAGTAAACTACTAGGCCACTAAGCTCTCTTGTCTGAAATTTGAAAAAACTAGTCTACAAGTCTACATATCTTATTCGTATTGCATCAAAAATGTTACTTTTACTTTCGATACATGCCGAACGAGTCCCCCGAGTTCTCGAGATAACTTTTCCTTACTGATTTTCTACTTTATCTCCATCATGAAAAGGGACTCAATGGCGATGGGAATTTATAGAACAGTAGGTTGCTTTTTTATCTAGTACATCTAAGTATTTCATTAGTTTAATTCTTTTTGTAAGCTGTATAAAATCAGAGGTCTTTTCTGTAGATTATTAATAATAATTACTAATAAAGACTAACCGATTTGAGGTTAAACATAATTATTCTTTTTATTATTGGAATAATTTTGGTATATGCATAGTACCATAAATCAAATATCATGAAAATAATTGCGCCATAGGCCCTTCAACACTTAATCTATGTATTTTTATCAATACTCACATATGATTTAGGATAGTCTTTTACATATTTATATTATTTATTTTCTTATTACACACAATTCCGTTATATAAGTTTCCTAAATATTGCATAAAGTATATTATTTTAGATACTATAACATAATATGGATTTAATATATAAATACTTGCCTTGTGTCTAGTCTTGTAAATATGATTCATACTCTTTTTGAGTTCTTGCATTTTCTCTGGACCAACAACCCCCTTATTTTATAAATCCAGCTACTATCTTTCGTATATATTTTAGCCGAGTTTATTTTTTATACAAGTAAGGTAGCAACAAGCCAAAATATAACGCAATTGCTAAACACGTACGTATAGTCCAAGATTGCTTGCATTAACAGAGTTCATGAATTAACCCTTTTAAAAAACTCAATATTTAATCTAATTTGCCGCCCAAGTCACACTCTTTAAAATAGATAATTTCATATCCATTTTTCAGGTTGATACCAAATTCTTTGTGTAGTTATTATATTGTTTTATTAGAGATGAGTCGTATGATTTCATTTTTGGTGCCACCAAAATAAAATAATTTCCTGCGCATCCGCATCGACGGTTCTATTTCGATTTCTATAAATAAATAAGACAATTTACAAGGAAGAGAAGTGTTATTGATTAAGATTGTAAACTGCAATAATATACATATAACTGAACTAACATGTGTAATATATATATATATGTATATGTATATTGACATTAATTTTACAGTATGTATATTATTTTAATTTCCACCAGATTATTCTTCAAAAATTGATGTTATGGCATTATTAAAAAAAACAAGAAAGAACGATATAGAATACCTACTTTAATAAAAATACTACCCATCTTTAATCCAAAAGGGGTCGTATGCCGTGTGATTTCTCCGAGAGTGATCCATAAAAATTCAATTAGCCGTGAGTTGACCGGGACGCCCTCCAATGACCAAAGGTTTCATTACTCTCGCATTTGGGAAGCTACAATATTTTTTGCACTCACACAATTTTCCTTTTACAAAAAATCGACTTTGGAAGGTTAATGGGCACCCTAGCCATCGACATCGGCCTAGCCGCATCCAATTTACCTCCTGTCGCGTCGAGACATTTTCAAACTATTTAAGCCTAAGTGTCTATTATCCGAACGGGAAGAAATATGTTTGGTAAGGATCAAAGGATACAGGCGAGTTAGTATAGGTCTGTTTAAGTAGAAAGCTACTGTTCCGATGTAAATATGAACTTCTAAAATTATAATAATGAATAACCAGGAAACGTCTATTAAATAAATAAATCCAAATTTGTCTTGTACAAACATTTAAATTAGTAGCAATGCATGCGAGAATTACATCCGAGTTTGTACGCGAAAGCACAAAATACAAATAATAAGTCTGCTCCTACAAATAATAAGCAGACTTATTATAGAGAAAATAATTTTCCTTTGTGTTAGTTGGATATCTACTTGCATGTATACGTTTACGTTATATGTATGCCATTATGGTCTATAAACGCATACCGCCTCGACTGTTATTTCCGTTTGTATTCAGAGATATTTTAAATTGAATAATGTCATGGTGAAAAATATGTCCATATTTCGCTTATATATATTTGAGTACAACATGGCAGGGGCGAACCTAACGCCGTCTCTTGTATTTTTTTTTTTGTTATGTCAGTGAATCTTTCAGTGGACAGTTAGAAATATAAATTGACACACATCGTTTTTTGTCTGGTGGCGGTAAGTTTTTAACTTACAATCTTTTGGGTGTAGGTATATCAGGACATTAAACCATTAGCCTACGACGCTTTCAATTGTAATATACATAGCACTTAATTCCGTTATTTATATTATGAAAAATACATATTTATATATGAAAGATTCTCCATCGGCTGAGGAGTCCATAAATTAAAAATCAAGGAAAAATGGAGCTTTGTAGCGATGAGGTACAAACGGATGGTTGTAGTATACATAATATGATAATTCAAGTATTTCTTTGAATTATATTTTAAAATGGCAAATAACCTGATGTTACAGGGTAACCGTCATCTATATGCATCACATATATGACACCTGCAACATACTCATGCGTTGTGATTCTTGAGGACTAATACTATATCATGTTTCTTATTTTATACACGGCTTGCAACGCACTTGGCTACTCAAATAGACGACACAGAGGTACCCATGCAAGCAATTTTTAAAGTGTGGGTCTGATAAGACCTATAAATTTGAACTAAATATCAGGGTTTCATTTAATTACTAGGTGTTAAATTAATTGTAAGTGTATTTACTAAGTAAACCGATTATGCAATATGTCTCAAATAATTTTGCAGATACCATTGCAAAACTTTGTTTCTATATTTACAATGTTTTGTAATATTCAGAATTGTCCTCAAAAAATAACGTAATAGATACAATTATCAGGAATCATTAAACTGAATAAAAATTGACAGATAATTAGTTATACACCTTTTCAAGTAAGTGGAACATTTATTTATATAAAAAGTTAACTCGTTAATTAAATTAGTCAGAAAAGTTCTATAACAGAATCGTCAATTCCAAACTTTTAAATTCGTTTCGTTTTAACCGACTTCAAAAAGAAATAGAGGAAAGATTATTAATTAAATTGAGTGTTTTTGTTGTACCTATCTCATATATTATATCTCCTGCATATGCGTATTTACTTAAATAATAATTTGTTTTCTATGATTGTTCGTTCCATACCAAAAAAGTCACCGGTGGTCAGTCGCAGGTACTCTGAAGTTACTATTTTTACTTTTTGTATCCAATATACCGCTCTTAGGGTTGTATAAAATAAAAAACAAACTTCGTATTATATTAATCTTTTTATTAACAATAAAATGAATCGTGTGCGATACATAATTGAATTTCCAATTTAGATGCACAAGCCGGTTACTGCAGAAAACTACCGAACCACGTTCCAATCTCTCTGATACTTGCTCACCGCATTTAATAAAAGTCTGATCCTTGTGAAGGTAAAGTAATAATACTTATGAACCGAATTATAGTTTCTCTTATATGGACCAGCAACACTGACTAGTAGGTATTTTTACTTCATTTGGTAAATGTTTGAATTTTTTTAGATACATTAATACTATTACTATATTGCATTAAATAAATTTTTGTTCATTGCAGTAGTAATGAACAAAATGAGTGATCTTAATTGTTTGTTCTAATAAAACTTACTTACTTAGTTACTTATCTGCAATGTGTACGATTTAATGTGTATTCTTTTTAGTTACAATGTATGCGCGAGCAAGTTAGTTTGTAAATAAAGTTAATGGAAAAACTGTTGTGACTGGAATTAATATGTAGAATTTCCTACATACCTACTTCCTCGCTCGCTTTATCTGTAAATATTGTAATTTCTGTATTTTAAAATACATTCACCAAGATCTCGTCATGTTGCTGATCCAATAAAGTGTGTACAGAATAATATACCTACATAGTTACTATGATAAAAAGCACTTGCATTTTCGTTTTATATTCAATTGCATAATGCATCTCTCTTACCATTTTATAATCGAGAAATATGTTAGAAGAAAATTTTCTGGAATATATAACAATAAATAAATATTTTATTTACAGTTAAAAATTTTATCGCCTATCTATTACATTTCGGGCGTTTGTATGATAGAACTGAGTCGTTGGACGAACTGAATCTTTACAGATTATAACTATTATATATATATAATATATACTTCTAGTAACAGATTGAGAGACGGTGACAGATGAAGAATTATGTATTAAGTATATAAAATATATTATTCAAAATGCATATATATGTACAGTGTCGATTTAAAACTGTAACTAATTGAGGTGTTACTTAATTAATTTGAATAAACACAAATATAACGTTCCTGGTAGCCAATATAAATATTCCGATCTGAACGATAATCCACCAAACTTTACATTACTTTATCAAACTCAAATTAGTAGTCCCATCAAACTTAAAGTAGTATTGTTTGGACGGGTCGAATAAAAGTCTGGAACAAGAATATCAAAATAATAATGTTCCTATTAGAAAACAATCAAACTTCGAATTTGCCATTTCATAACAGCTATATTAGTTGTTGTTTCTGCATATAAATAGTAAATAATTAGTCGTAAAACTATGGGGCATTCTGTAATAAGTTATCTACTGAACCTTATTACTGAATGTCCCATACTTTTATGAATGTGTGTTCTATGTAAAGCAAGACAGGTCACAGTTATTATGTAACATAATTTTTTATTAATAAAATTATGGAAATAGATTAAATTAATGAAATTTGTATTTTTGAAGTAATACCTGCCAATTAGAGAGACAGAGAGTCATCAAGTTTCCTATTCTTAGTTAGATTATTGTATCGTTTCATATAGAAAAGTTCTTCTAAAATCGACACCGTTTGTATATATATGTATATATATTTACATACCAACAGAAAGTAACTACACGTGTCATGTTTACCATAAAAACAAAATATAAATCCTTTTCTTGCCGACTTTCCCATATCCGTCAACACTTCACATCGGTTAACTCGTGGCTTTTAAATCAATATCATATCAATGAAAACAGCTTATAAACACGTATCGTATATATCAGAATAAATATTTACAATTTACTTACTGCTGAATTTACTTATGTCTTCACATTTTGGTACTTTGACTTTGTCATATATTATAATAATATTAGAGCACAATAAATTACTCAATCAAATGAATTCCAAAGCTTTAACAATAAAATTCACTTATGTAGACACATGAATGTCACGTAACGATCTCGTAAACAAACTAGGTGAATAGAAAGGATATTAAGTACAAAACATTCTTTAGTCACTTGGTAATATCTTTACATTAAAACGTTTTGTTTTATCTACTTATATCTTATTTGGCAGTAGTGATTTTTAAATTACCAAAACTGACTTAAGTATCAGTTTTAAGCTACGTTCCTTAATACAAAGGTAATAATTCACTTTTATATATAACAAGTTACAACATACTATGGTCGATTTATGTTATTACAATGGGCAAAACTGCATCAGAATGTCATATTTCACGAATATACTTAGATTATACCAAATTTATTGACGAAGAAAGAACTATATCCTAAACTGTTTTAATAATAACAAAGGATCAACTGAAATGTAATTATAAAAAACTTGATCAAGTCTTCCTGGATTTTATTATAATTAAAGCTCAAATTGAATGGATATAGAAACATATCCATTCCTCTATTCATGAGTTAACGCAAAAATCTTATCCTTAACACATTCACTTTAGCCACATATTTGGCACATAGTTTTATTTAGTGATTATACGATATAGGATAACTTTTGTACACAAACTTCAATAAATGAGAACAAATTGCTACTACATATTGAAACAAAAACAATGTCACGTATTATTAATATAATTATAAATAAATGCAACTGTTGTAAACTCAGCCATTGTATAAACTAAACGCAGGTAAAATAATGTAGACACGAGGTATGCACAACATACAGCCGCTAATGTATTAACCAAACAGACGCCCTTTAGGACTAAATATGCACGAACATATCAAATGCGGCTGGACTATGTACCTCACTTGCTAACAACTCTAGATTGAAACAGATTGATACCGACTGTTTTGTAAGTACCATTGGAAAACTGTGGTAAAACTGTTACTTTCAATATCTTTGCAGCTAATGATCACATAATCCAACCGGTGATTTATCGAAGGTAGGCGCATCAGCACCGACACGCCGCGCGATCACGCTCATCACGCACTCCACACTCCTCGATGTATCTAAACAATTTAATTTTAAGATAATATTGTCTTGGCAAAATCTCACTCCACGAGACTCGTCAAATATTAGCGAGTCGTATATACTACGTATATATAAATTTGATAAAGTTAATTCGTATTTAAATATTCCATAATAATATTATTCATCATAAAAACACTACGTCTTGATTGTACATTCGAAGTTCACACAAGTCACTAGAGTAGAATAACGGCTAGTGGCCCATGCGGGCACGGCGGCGGCTACAGGGGGTCACTGGGGGTCACAGGGAGATGCTGGGGATTTCAGCACACGGCGGAGGACTGCAGCACAGGCAAGGGGGGCAGCGGCCGCGAGGGCTCGGGTGAGGCGCGCTGTTAAATGATGCTCTCGCGGTTCCGCTCATTCTCCTCCTGCGAGCTTAGTGAACTGCCACCACAGATCTGCATTTCAATTTCTTGCAGCCTGTGCAAATTTAACACCTCGTTAAATATAGCAAACTCTATATAAAGAATGTTTACAAATAAGTACATTTACTTCCTTAAAAAACTTATTATAAACAGTGACAGCTAAGACGAACTAATATAGACGAGGTAAAATGTCTACATATCATAGACAATATGTAATTTCACTGCCTTATCTTACCCTTCAACTGAAACTGTTACACTTAACTGGACTTAGTTTACCTTACTTTAGGTAAGTCTATGGTTCTATGGTGGGTTCAATGCCTCGCACCATGCAAATATTTGTATTCATTAGTATGATACTAAAATATTCTGGGTGATCTCTATGTACATATATTATGTACGCATTTATAAAAAAAAACTGTATTTAAATATTTAGATATGTTGAATAGTTGTTTACGAAATTTAGGAATCCTCCCACCTCATATCACCTAGCGTCGTAGTTAATATATGAATAGACCCTACTATAATAGTAGTAGTTTAACTTTTTTTTATAAATAGCTAAATACCTCTGGTCAACTTCCCATTGTTGTTGACTGAGCTTAGCAGACATCGCGGCGTTTTCCGTTTCGACAGTGTACAATCGCTCGCGCAACCGTTTAATCTCGCACTCGAGAGCATCGTGCGAGTCGAGGAGTACTCGTGGCGCCATGCTGACCGCCGCCACGCTACCACCACCCGCGGCGCTGCTGCGGGCACTAGATGCACATGACGCTACAGGGGATGCTACACGAAGAGGACTTACTGACGAACTGTAAGCAAATATATTATCGAATATTTTGTCAACACCGGAAGTGTACTACCGGACTGTATATGCTGACGGTATACTGCCTGATGTAATTTGGAATTCATCATTGGGTTTAAGGTAAGAAATGTATATACCTACCTACTATGTTTGTGATGGGTCGAAAACAAGCCGAAATTCATTTAGAATACTTAAGAAAATGAATCGCTTTCACAAAGAAACAAAACTTCATATAAAGGATATCCTTTATATGGAGTTATATTTATTTATTGTATATGAATTTGGAATGAGGAACATGCTGACGGACCATCTTACAGTATGTGATAACCGTCGCTTATATATAGTACCACGGATATCACGTCATCATGTGACAGCTGTGCTACAATCCTACGTTGTTTTTCCAGAGTACTACAATGACATACTTTTTATCTCCTAATTTGTAACATATTACAAAATTAACATCCTTATAAAAAAGGAAAATAGTAGATATATCATAAATTGTGCAGCAAAATTACTATAAATTTCGGTTTACAGTTTAAACATGACATTTTAGACGTGTTTATTCTGTTATGAAGCTCCCAGCTTATCAGAATATTTAGTTCAGACACTGCAGTGCAACAAACCGCGAGATAAAGCAGGTTGAATTGTGTCATGACATTTTAAGCAAATATGAATAAATAATATTTTTAAAATGACGTAAACTTCAGAATTTCTTATGTAAGTTGAATTTTAATAGCTAATTCAGATGAACATAAAACTTAGTAACGATTAATAAAATAAACTACATCAGGCGAGCTATATAATTGTTATTAAATTGACTCCCAAAATTTTTTAATTTAATAAAAATAACATTAGGAAAAAATAGAGTTATATTTTATGATATAAATATACAACTTTGTCGTATATTCATCGTATTAGGGTAATCAAAGTCACATTTTCATAGAATTGAAAGTGGTAAATAGGAATTGTTTCGGTGTATGACAATCAACAAATTAACGAATAATGCAATCATTTCTAGACTTTGGTATGAATGCTTTCCTACCTATTCTTTCATAGTATAAGAAACTCGGTACCTATAAAGCTGGTCCCGGTAGGAAGGCGGGTGTGAAGGGTGCATCGGCAGTGGTGCCTGTGCAGGTGGGAGCTGCATCTCCTCAATAGGCACTCGCCCGCTCGTCTCGACGAGCCCAGGCGTAGATTGGCAGCGGCCCATTGCAACTGCAATCGTATAGCCGTTTCAATACAGGTTACCTCATAAAGTTATAAAAAATTCTTTTGCTTCATGTATCTATCTGCACACCCGATTCCGTAAGGGATAAGCATAGATTTTTCTTATTTCCTAGAACACAAACTTCGCTTAATACCTCAAGTAAGTATAATGTAAATTTTGTTAAAAAAGAAACTGACTAGTATTATTTATAATATTATGTGACCTACATAAACATTCTTTGCTACCTAAATAATAATATAACTAATATAACTGGTGAGTTTTACCACACATCAAAGCATAAATATCAAGATTGATGACAAAAATCCCTTTTAGCGAATATTCCATTCAATCAAATAACCATTGTTGATGAATTCAGGATCTGATCATTCAGATTCGATTGAGATCCTGATTAATTACTAAAATATAATCTTACACTAAATAGTTAGTAATACTAATCGTTAGGACCTAATTGTTACGTATGTATTTTAGAGAACATATATTTTTAATAATTTGCACCAGTTTCAAATGGTAAGCAAACTGGAATCATATCTGTTGTACCTTTTTCTAAGGGTGCTTTCTTATACTTCTCAAGTCTCTTGACAGCGATAGCCTCTAGGCGAACCCTCGCTGCGGGGTACTCCTTGAGCACGTCCCACATGTCCTTCTTGCTGAGCACGAACAGATCCGAATACCCGACGGACCGCACCGATGCTGTCCGCCGGTTTCCTGTCGACGTGTCATACACACACTCCGTGCCAACCGGTGTTCGGCCCACTACGCTTATGAACTTTTCTGGCTTTTAATTATATAACATGAAATTGTTATCTGTTACTTAAATTTTTACTGAATTTTTTGTATTCTTAATAAACCAGAAAAGATCATAAGCATATTTAAAAGGAAGACCGAAAACACCGGTGGCGGGGCACACATATGGGAGGTACTTATATTAAAGATTAGTAGGAGATATAGATTAAGCTGATTTAGGAGAAAGTTTAATTAATGCTACCTTAATTTAGAGAGCAGGGTGGAATACGTATACCAGTCCGGAGCCAAATCACGTCGTAATTTAAAAATAATAATGGATTTCAAAATAACCATAAGAAGCCATTTCTATTGAGTTCCGAATATGTGCTTCATTACAAAGACAAAGCGTTTAAAGTAGACACAAAAATTAGTATAAGTATAAACTATTTTGATTTCGTAAAGAACGAAGCAGTTCTACAAGATCAAATGCGCATATTAAGTTAGATTAAAATAAAAATAATTTTTTGGAACTGAACCGATAGTATGGCGACAGATTTCGAATTAAATAGGTAAATAGTACACTTAATAATAATAGGGTTTCATGCACCAAGAGGTCACGCCAAAAATGAGGTAATCAGGGAGGATGCAAAGCGATCGGGGACACTGCCTTCAATACAACCAAAGGAGAACATAAGACGAGAACGAAACACAAGACACTAGACGCTACAAAATCCTGGAAGAGGATATCTAACAAGAAGCCAATAAAATCGAAAGTCAAATAAACCAATGTTACAGCTTACCGTGTCGGTACGATTACTTCTTGTTGTAATGTTAGTCAAAATTTCATCCAAAAAATACAAATATAAACTGAAATAATTAAAACAATAGCCACAAATGCGAAATATCATAGTAATGAAATCAATTAAAATGTAAAGGCATTCCCTATTAATTTTAAACAAAGCGACGTTACCGCGAGTGGGTGGCCATGTTGTTGTAGACTGTCTGTTAGGAATAAGGAATAGTAAAATAGTCAACAACATGATCACAAAGCAGTGACGACGGCGATCAAGTATGATGTCCCAAAACCTGTTGTTAGTGTCGTGGCCGCTCCCTCGGCCTGATTGCAGCGTCTCCTCGAAACGTTTGCTTATATCGAAACTTTTTAAGATAGTAATAAAGTAGAATAATAATGGCGTGGCGTCTCGGGCCGTGGCGATATTTACCAAGTTGTTTACCTGCCGTGCCCATGTTCAGAATGGAAATTTCGCCAAAATAAGAACCCGCCTTGAGTGTTGCTAGCACCGTCTTGCCGTTATCGCCTACCACCTGCAGTTTCCCTCGATTCACTATATACATTTCCTTGCCAACTTCGCCTGAGGACAATACGTTTATTATCATAATTTCGTATTATAAATATCACTCCCATAAACAACCCCCTTATTCATGAAAACGACAGTTGTGTAATAAACCTATTTAAGTGACTTTATCTCTTTCCTTCGTGCTATTTCTTTAATTTCAGTGTATGTGACGACACTTTTAGTTCAAATGGCTTTATTGGAGACTAGGTACTAGGTATTAGGTACTACTATATTGTTATACAACAAGTATTAACAGCTCCTACCAGGAGTTATACCAGGTCAATCAATCCTCCTATTATGTACTACAGGTTACCTATATAAGTTTCATATAATTACACGTATTCGAATTCCACAGATATATACATAATATAGAACGTTAAATATGAATATAAAATGAGATTTTATAATAATATCACAAACCTTTCCTGCAGATATAATCTCCCGGTGAAAATAGAACAGGCCGAAGTCTTAACACCAGCTCGCACAGAAATCCCGCTTCCGTATTTTGGAAGATTTCCACCCTGCAAATGGGCATAATGTTATAATATACTTAATAGAATATTCAACGAAGATGACACCCATACGTGGCCAAAAATGTTCCTCGATAATCGTAATATAACGTGTACACACATTCTAAACTGAGTAGGTATACAGGATTCAGCTAAAAACAGAAAACTCGGAAGAGCCATTTGGCGACAGAAATTTACGGATCGTATAAACGAACACTTTTGCATAATTCATGGACGTAAAAAGCGAATGTTTCTCTTTTTAATTATACAACACGGGATATTAAGCTCGAACTGCCATGCTGCATTAATGTGGCTTGTATTGTGTACACTATCACAAAAGTCGCCGTCTTGATGTTTTAGGTTATCTTTTCATAATATCATAAAGAATGGAGGTTTTTTGTATGTGATTTTGGCTGAAGTTCTGCTATTTGTACATATCTTTTTTCATCATTTTTGAGATCACTTTTGGTACATCTAATAGATCCAATGAGGATTCTTCATAATGTATCTATGCATGAATATCAAACGACATTCGTTTGATTATATATTCGTTCATGATAGCCTAGAAGAGTGGAACTCGCAATCAATCCGTTAAATATTTACTAATCGAAGAAAACATACAAAATCATTTTTTTAATAAGGGGTGGAAGGGTCTTCTAAAAGAGGAATGTTTATCAGTTTTAGTTGAAAACATACTACACAATACCTATATTGTGTAGTATGTTTTCAACTAAAACTGGTCCGGCGTCCTAGTGCAAGCAAATGTGCCTACACTTGCATTCACTTGTGACAAGGACACCGGATCTTCCTCGTTTTATCTCATTCGTGCGGTAGCCATTTAAGCAAGTTTAGATAGTAACATTGATATATTCGTTAGGAGTTTATATACACCTTCAGCTCTCTAAGCTTTGACTCTCCTTAGGCAAAGGAAATTAAGTGCAATATCATTAAATAACAAAACTAACTAGCATTCTTCAATGTAGATAGATAGATAGAAATATCAATTTATATTCATTATAATTAATTTTATGCTGATTATTTATAATATTTTCTTTCATTATTACGTAATACATTTAAAAATAGTAATATCGTCGTCATATTTTTTATAGTTTATTACTTTCATCAAATCGTCATAGTTATTAAAATAAATATGAAATGGTAATGGTTTATACCGTTACCTGCCTACCAATGAGAAGAAAGTCATGTGATTGTGCCTAGGTAAACGTAGCTTTTTGGATGGAGAATAATATGGACTATCATTAATCTCATACACTCGCGGGTAAAATCTAGTATCGCTATAAATGTAACATTTTAATTACACCAGAAGTAAAACAATCCTTTGCTCTACTTTACAACATGTACGTAGTGTGAATGTTCTATACGTTATTATAAGATTTTCCTCTGCAAAGCTATTATCTAAAACATTGGTGTGAGCATAAATACTACTTTCATTTATTACCAAGATATATGAGTAGCTCTAATTTTGTATATAGGTAATATTTAAATATTTTGTTTTAATGCGATTTCTAAATAAAGATAGGTAATGCAATTCGAATACACGAATGAGTATCTTCTCATTTAGTTTAAAAAGTAATCACATTCTTATTTAATAAATTGTTGTATACTATAAGAAAAAATATTAAAATATAGTAATTTCACAATTATTTCATACTGCACTTTTTCGCATTTCTCAGATAGGTACGCAGTTGTATTTTTTTAATTAAATAACTGTAAAAGTAGAATAATTAGAACTAGTGGTCGCTTAGTGATCGAAAATAGACCATAACTAATTTCAATTATAAGCATCAACATGTTAAGGTATTAATATAAAGATTACTTTGTTAACAGACCGAGACAAACATCGATTCGCTGATTTAACAATTAACAATATTTGACATTGAAGTTTTGTTATTAGTCATGTAATGTAATGGCAGTGTGTATAATTGTTTTTTTATTACTTTAGATTAGATTTATGATTTAGATTTAGATTCTGCACTCCTTCTCCATATAACTATAAGTGTGCGAAATTTCATACTCTGTCCGCTCAATTTTCATAAAAATAGGTCCAAACTTTTTATATATTGATACGTATATTGATATACAGGGTTTTATTATAGCGGATTCGAACTGGTTAGCCAGTAATTTTAAACTTTAATGAAAACAAAGTATGTATATTCGAAGTTGAAATTTTCAACAATGCATTACGAGCGCATGCATTTATAAATATTTAAGAGATTGCTTCTGAGAATTATTAAAATATGCAATTTGACTATCTACTTATTATTCAGTGTCTAAAAACATTAGTGTTATTAGATGTTGTTTGGTTTTGACACCATATCAACCAAGCATTCCATTTTAATTTACATCATGTAAATATGTATATTAGTAATGCAACTTTAGGTATCTTTAGCATAAACGAAATATCTCACTTGTAAAAGTATACATTTAAGGAGATAAAAACCATCACTCCTAAGTCCACTCCATCTACTCCTTCAATTTTTATACCTCACGGGTCTAGGCAGCCAACTTTGAAAAAGAGCGAGGACAATAGATATATGTAGGTGGAAATGCCACAGGCACGTGATACCCCAAAACCCCAATAAAAAAAATAGGTACCTTTTTAAAGTATCCAAGTGGACATTTATAGCAATCTCTGCCTTAAGTTTATCTGGTAAGCAAGAAACCGCCTTCTCCTCGTCGGAACACTTCTGCGTGAGCCACAGGTAATCAAACCACTTAATCACCTTTACTTGCAAGTGGGTTGGCACCCGGCGCATTCGCATATACGTCTTCACTCCATCCAGTTTCGCTGTAACAAGATTAAATCAATTGCAAACTTATTCATTTGAAATAAAACAATACATCTGTGATGATAGAATTGAAATGTAATAATATTACTTCGAATGAGTAGGTGTTATTTTGTAATCTATATTTATTATTTATATTATAGGACATTGTCATTCATTATATTGATATATAAAAAATAACATTAAGGTTTTACATAATTATAATATTGTGAGTGTTTATATTAAATAAATAAGTAATCCTGAACTATTAACACAGTGCCATCTAGTTCCACAGTAAGCAGAGCTTGTGTAATGGTAGTACCCATTACACAACTAATATAAATACACAGATATTTTTGTGTAAATACACCCAAACCGATAGTAACCATCATACTCATGAATACAAATGTTTGCACCGTGCGAGGAATCAAACCCGCGACCATTACAAGTAAAGCGGTGTGCTAAACCGCTAGACCACCGACGCCGCGTCATCAAGTGTATTCGTCGTATATTGCCATGCCCTTTCAGGGCGTAACAAAATAGTTATAAAAACTTAACCACACTGTGTATGTAAGTACTTTATATTTAGTGATACTGCAATAAATAAATAAAATAAGACATAAAACCTTGGTACAGAAATTACTTGACCGCCGCGCCGTGATGATAAAAACTATTACCTTTTTTATATTTACATATCGTAAAACCATAACAAGGTGAAAACCGTTTGTTTATCTGTTTGTGTTTAAAGATTTTACATAAATAAACCTTGAAGAATTAGAACAAAATTTTAAAATAATATGTTATCAAATAATAATACTAATATAAACTTTATTCATAAATGTACGGTACAATTAAATATAGTTAGCCCTTGCTTTCGATATAAATGAATCTGTGCCACGAAAGCCGGTTCCCTCCAACATTCTGTAAACATTTTTGGTACATGTACAAATATCGTTATATACCTTAATAAAACCTGAGAATAATACCTCCCAAAGGAGAAAATAATACTTTATAAATATATTAATATTTATAGTTCCAAATATATTTATTTTTAGAAATAACTACTGGCAGGAAATAGGCATCATTTTAAATGTCATGTATGTACTGCGAAGATGAAAATGCCAATCACGCCATGATAGGTTTCTACCAAGACGCTTCAAATAGCAACTGTTTATAACTCTACTATAATAGTTCCATAAATAAAATGTAGAAGGTTTTTATGTATCTATTCCTACAATTTCTTAGAAGTAGATTAATTGATTGATTAAATATTTATTACCAACATTAGATAAGATAGAGTAGCTATTTCAGCTGTTGCTGATATAAGCACAACCTCAATGAGGTGAACCTATATTAGCGTTGGATTTCAGGCAGCTTCCATTACTCATCAAAAAGAACATTACAGACTTACGGGTTTCTCAATTTCACTCATTACATATAAATATAATATAATTTCGAGTTCTGACTGTATAAAAAGGAACTTAAAGAAAGTAAGTAATGCTTTATATCTAAAATATACGTCTACTATCAAAGTGTATCAAAGTGTAGTCTATCACGTTTGGTGATAGACTACACTTTGATACACTTTGACGAGAAAGACATTAAAATCTTAAGCATTTTTGTCATTGATACACTTTAAGCCATCTGCACACATTTATTTCTACTGGCAAGGACTGTGATTTTCAATGACTATAATTAATTTATTGTATCTTTCTTTTTGGAATATTCAATCTAAATCCATTATGTTAGTCCATATTTATGCCAGAGTTATGCAAATACTCTCCGAAATTAATTCTAATATTATGAACTTTGTATAATACGCAGTTCCTACTTAATTCAAACGGAGCCTTCCACCTTGCGAATTATGCATTGTGAATTGTGAAACAGATCTAATATAAACCTAGTGACAAACTTTGAGCAGGTCTGTTGCTTTTCATAAACGTGATAATAGTTATTTTCCGTTAAATAAAAACTTTAAAATGAGATATGGCAGTTAAGTTACTACAAGTTACAAGTTTGTATAATACATAATATTAGTTATTATATTTTACATTATATACATTATATAATAACTTCGCCATTGTTACTATATTTGACTAGACAGATCGTCAGTTTATTTGTCAATATAGAGGCTAATTACAACTTTATTTGAACTTACTATTAAAAAACATTGATAAAATTAAATAATAACTTAACGTTCGTAAAATTATATTTTCTTATGCATTTTAGCTACTCATTTCATGCTTACACAAACTCTTAAATCCATGTTCAGATGATTCACACAGTCAACCATGGTAAGTCAAATTTGATTTATGTAAGTAAACGTCGTTTTAACATTTATAAATAAGATTTTTAGTAACGGAACATGTAAATGATTATAAATGTAGAATAATAATGGTGGTAAATTTACAGTTGATATTGAATATAAATACTCCATATTTGTATAAGTGAACCTATCATATATTATCTAAGTATATTCGCGATCGCATTAATTCTTTCCGGTTGTGTGAACGCGACTTAATTTTCCCGACGGTTGCCCAAAGTAATTTCTATAACTCCCCAGATAATAAAGTTACTCATCTGCCCGTCATAGAGTTTCACAAGAGACAACTAAATGAAATTACACTGTTTTGCAAATCGTATTTAACGTTACCTGTCGTCGGCAGAAGTTAAGTTAGAGCTAAGTTCAGCGACTCGTGTGTCAACCAATAACTTCGTGTTAGTAAGAAATAATTACCAACAATCTCCAACTTTCAGGAAGTCGTTTGAGAAATACTACAGATAGAAGTTTAAGTTTTAGTTTTTTACATAAAGTCACAATTCTTAATATCTTTAAATTAAACATATCCAGTAAATCAATTGTGTTGACTAATTCTTTCATAACTAGGCTTATGTAAGGTTTCATACTTTATTTAAATTTAGTAACTGACTATAATCTCAAATGACAGTAATGCAAATTTCAGTTAATATTAATAACAGATAACTAATAAAAATATATGTATATTTCTATATAACTGCAGTGAGAAATATGCTGGCGATCTTTTAGTAAGTGGCAACTATCGCCTATTGTACATTGCCATTTGTACATAACAGTACAACGGACATCACGTGATGATATGACGTTTGAAGATTCTATGCATAAATATCTTATAATGTTAGAGAGTATTCATGTCTTCTATCACATGGTATTTATACCAAGGGTGTCATAATAACAATATGACACCCTTGATATAATATAGCACTGTTTATATACATACATACGTTTATAGAACTTGATTGCCAATCAAATTACATAAAAAAATTAAAATATTCTATATAATCTGTCTCAATGTGTCTATATAGACGGTATTAAATAACCATATGATTGTTTAATACCGTACAAGTAAAATTATGTAAAAGTCGTACAACAAAACAACAAAATAAAATAAACATTACCCATAGTAGTAGATAATTTATAAATGTTCACTACAAACTAATGTTGCCATAACATTTATTAAACTAACCAATTAGGTAGTTTGCATCGCTTCACGGGTAACTGCAATATTAACTTGTACCGAAATCATATGGAGTTGCACGTATGTAAGTGCATATTTGACGTTAGGTCAGTAGGTTACGTAGGAGAATTAGATAAAGCGATTTATTCTAGTGTAAACACTAAAGAAAGTTTATATGATTCGGACTATATTACATCACCATCATATCCTCATTATTACCCCGCTATAGGGCACTCTTCAGAAGAGAATTTACCTTATTCTCGGTTTAGTTTCTTCGGGTTTATTCGGGTTAGTTTCTGGCATAGAGTTCTATTTTTTTGTACCTTAATCGACTCTTATGACATTTTAGGAATAAAAAAAGTACAGAGTACAATAATAATGTACTTTTATATAACGATTCCGAATCAATTTTGGTGATATTTTTAATGGTTATGGCTAAATATTCAGTATTGGTAGTAACCAATACCTACTGAATATTTCTGTTATAATAATCCATAAGGATTAACAATGACAATAAATCGATCAACTTATTAAAAACGACATAACATTCTAACAGTTTCTATTAACAGCATTATCATCATTTGGTTCTAGCTAACGCAGAAATTACTTTCCCCCTAGTGAACAAGCACCCAAAATCACGCTATCACAACATAAAACCCGATGACGACAGTAATATATTGTAGCGAGTATTTGACGACGAGTTTCGGAATTCAGGGACACGTCGCGACAATTACCTATCGAGTACCGCCCGGGACTCGCCGGGCCCACAATCGTCGATCCTGCGGGAATGTTGGTTGTTTGTTTGGCATTCACTCAAAATTTGTTACATTAAATTAGGAACTTACCTACATCTAAATGTCAAAAAGGTGGATTTATTTTTAAGTGAGTTGAAAAAGGAGAAAGTTTTCTTTACAATATCTAAATAATTTTATCATTTGTATATAAACAAACCTTCTATATCCTATCTTCTTCTATTGTATTGTCTTTCTGTGCATTGCCCAGGTATTGCATAGAATGCACGATATATAAAAATTGCCGACAATATATACATTGAAAATATAACAAATATTACCATTAGAAACAGTAGAAATATTTTTATACAGTTTCTTTGTTACAGAAATACTGATATTATTTTGACAACATTAATATCAGATTACTTTTTAGAAAAACAATTATGTAAAGTCAGCATTCTTTGTGTTAAAAAATATTAAATATACCTTACGTCCTATATTAATATAATCTATAATAGCTATTTATAAGTTTGATCGAAGGTCTCTCTCGTGTATAAGTTGAGTATCGGGCCTGCCATAAAACCCGTCCCTCATATGTATTAAACGCTAGAAACCCCTAAAATAGAATTAAACAGCCAACAAATGTGTTTCCGAGTAGGAACCACATGTAGGTCAGTCATCTATGTATACTGTGCAGATTATATAGCTTTCCAGCGACCGCCGACATATAGCATAGCTTTCAAAAGAACTGGCATACTTAAGAATATTCATATAACATTACATAGTATTACGCGTCGT